TGGCCCCCGGGGCCAGCACTGGCCTGAGCTGTCAGTCTCCGTGGCCTCTGGCGGGGCTCCCTGGAGGCTCCCTGGCCGGCCTCACTCCCTCCGTTGTCGCTGAGGTCTGGGGGCAGTGCTGTCTGAAGGGCAAGGCCCCCAGAGATGGCCAAGAGGGTGGCAGCCACTTCTGGGGGTGGGGCGAGTGTCACTAGATTCTCTTAGAAGACGGTGACGGTCTGCAGGCAGGGCAGCGGCTGTCTCTGGAGTCCCCTCTGGTGGCCCCAGGACCACGTGATGCACCTGCCTGTAATGTCAGGTCAGACCTTCCAGCCAGGTGGGAACCGCCCCTGCCGCAGGCCTGGCAGCAGGCCTCTGTCCGCACAGCCCCTCCTGCCACACCCTAGCTGACCACAGCCCGGTCCCAGCAAGTAGGGCTAGGTCACCCACACTGCCACCCCGCCCCACCCCTGCACCCGGCCTCTCCTGCCCAGAAGGCCTCTGTGCCCCATCTGCTGTCCTCCCGACTGTCCACGGCTGGCCGGCCCCTGTGACCATGCACTGCTGTGGGAACGTAAGGCCCTGAGGGTGTCCGTGCCTCCTCCAGGCAGGAGCAGAGTGTCCCCTCCTGACGGATGGGCTGGGCCAGGCCAAAGCTCTGCCCTGGGCAGCATGCCCAGACGGGGACCAGGAGATAAGAGGCCCCCCCACCAGTGTCCGCAGTCTGGCTGGGGCAGTGGCCTCGCCGGGCTGGACAGGCTGCTGGCCCTGTCTTCCTGGCCACCTGTGGAGCCTTGGCCCAGATCTGGCCCATCAGTGCTTCTGGGACTCTGGACGGCCAGCAGCTGGAGTGTACTGCTCCCCCCTCCCCTCCTGGCTTCAGGGTTGTGGACAAGGTGTCCTCAGTCACCCCACCACTCAGGGGGCTCCCATGGCAGCCTGGGAGGTCACTGCAGCACCTCACATGGGGTCGTGCGAGGCCACGGCAGATGGCACAGGCACCTACCCGTGTGTTGCAGGGCTCGGAGCCCACCTACCTGAGTCGGACAGAGCAGCTGCACGCGCTCATGTGCGGCACCAGCGAGAAGGTGGGCGGGGCCGCGGTGGGCGGGGCCGCGGTGGGCGGGGCCGCGGTGGGCGGGGGAGAGGTCTTTTCCTCCTCTGACTCCTTGCCCTCTCCTAGAACGTCCTGGGCGGCCAGGACCAGCTGCGGGTCCGTGTGACCGAGCTAGAGGATGAAGTGCGGAATTTGCGCAAGGTCAACCGTGACCTCTTCGACTTCTCCACGCGCATCATCACTCGGCCGGCCAAGTGAGGCTGGTGGAAACTGCCACCCCCTGCAGAAGGCAGCCTTAAGACCCTGGCTGCTGGGAACACTCAGGGCCAGGGGGAGTCTCGGCCACCAGAGCTGGCTGTGGCGGCTTGGAGAATGTCCCTTCCAGGCTGGGCTGTGGCCTCGGCACAGGCCTGCTCAAGTTTTGTTACGTGGTTTTGATATTTTAACAAAACGTGACCTGAAAGTCTCAGCTCTGTAGTCTATGTCCCCATTGAGGCACAGGGAGTGACCACCTCAGCCTCGTAGCCCTGGGACATGAGCGACAGGGCACCTGTGGTCTCTGGCATTGGGCCATTGTCCCCAGTAGACGGCCAGGCTGGGGGTAGGGAGTAGGGCGGCTTAGGCAGGTGGGGTCGGGGAGGCGTGAGCCGGTGCAGGTCCCCAGGTCCTTTCCGAAGACCACGCTGTGCTCTGTAGAGGGTTCCATGGAAGACAGGTTGGGACGTGTCACAGTCGAGCAGTGTGGCTTGATCTAGCGGGCGCGCTTTGGAGCTGGGGACATTGTGAGGTTGAACTGGTGGCCAGATAGGGGCTGCCTCAAGCTGTGGGGTCGGCTGGGGCGTTGCCTTGGCCTCTGGCAGACCGGTGGGGGAGTGGGTGTGGCCTGGGCTGGGGGAAGTGGGTGTGGCCTGGGGAAGTGGGTGCGGCCTGGGCTGGGCGGTCCCTCCCAGGCTTGCCCTTTGGGTTGCCTGCACCGTGGACCCCTGATGGGCAGCCCCCACTCCTCAGCACCTGCGTATACAGAGGGGTATCCCCATCCCCTGCGTGTTCTGGTTCAGGCCACAGGGATTGGGGTGGAGGACTGCTGGCCCGTCCTAACAGCTGCACCGGAGTCCTAGCCCAGGCAGGATTTAGGGTTAGAGTCTACTCTTGACTGGAGTCCCCTGGGGCACGTACGCTTCAGCCCCTCAACAGGACGTTGGCTGGCACCGAGGTCCCCGGGGAGGCCAGGAGCCCACAATACCCAGGGACACGGCCAGTAGCACCTGGAGCCCAGCCCAGATGGCCGCCCCTGCTGACAGCCCTGGCAGTTCAAAAAGCCCACGTGATTCGTGGGTGCTGCCCTGACTGCAGTCCTGCCAGCCGCCAGGTGCTGAGTTCATGCTTTTAGGCTAATTCTGTCCTCCGGGCCTCACGCCCTCCCTGCTGCGGCAGGACCCCATGGCTGGGTCTCGTCCTCTCCTGACCCAGGACCAAGACTACCGGGCCCTGCTCTGTCTGGCTGTCAGGTGGGCTCCCTGCCATGGACCACGCACGGGCCGGGGTCGTGAAGCCACCGGCCCTCAGAGGGACGCAGCTGTGCAGGCCCCAACCCCTGGGCAGGGTGTCCTCCCAGGGCCTGGTCTCAGTCCCATCTGGTCTGTGCCCTGCTGGTCGTCCCCCCAGAGGGCACTGGGCTCCCTGCGGGCTGGGGTCCACCACTTCCTCACAGCCCACCGTCCAGGAGCCTCAGGTCGTCGCGTCTTCATGGTTGAGTGACAGCCTGGGAGGACTTGCCCCCTTGAGCTGTGGGTCTGTGATGTGCCACCGCACCCCAGCTTCCTGCAGTGTCTGTACCCCCAGGGCCAGCAGGGGGCCGTTCCCACCACCAGGACGGTGCAGGGCAGTGGACGCCAGCCCGCTCGGGCAGCCACGTGGGGTGTGGAGCCCTGCCAACCCGCCTGCACCAACCTCAGGTGGTCCTCGTTCTCAGACCAGCTGCCTGGACGCCATCCCTGACCCGCAGAGGAGGATCCAGTGGCTGCAGGGGCCCCGGACTAGGCACCTAGTCTGGGAACCTCTTGTCCCCTCCTCTGAATTCCGTCACGCCGGTGCCTCGGCACCTGGTCTGCACAGGGGGCCTCCTTCTCGTCTCACACCACGGTTCATGTTCAGGGAGGCCGGCCGGTGGGCGACTGCGTCCCTCCGCCCCACTGGGCACCACGGACCAGCTGGCAGGCTAGGGGTCTCCATGTGAGGCCCAGTGTGGCGAGCTCTGCACCAGGGCCCCTGCGCACTCCGACCGGTGTGGGCGAGGACACCGTTGGGAAGCCCTGCAGGGACGCACAACGGGGCGTGTACATGAGGACACCCTGGCCCCGTCCCTCCTCCAGACACTTACCGGACTCCGCCGCGCCCAGCTGTGCCCGGAAGGGGCAGCTGCGTCTCAGCTCTGTACCCGTCAGCTCCCAGACGCCTGAAGGTAACAGCCCAGGTGCCACCGGTGAGGGGACCCAGCATGTGCTCACCAGCACAGGCGTGTCGGTCCGGAGCAGGAGTGTGGCTCCGGCACAGGGTGACACCAGTGCCCAGGCCTGGTGAGAAGCCGGGCGTTCGACCCACATCGGAGGCAGGAAGTGGGTCGTGGTACTGGGGCTGGGGAGGGCGGTGAACGCATGGCGCTTCCGTCGGGAAGAGGGTCGGGGTAGGCAGTGGGGGTGCGCGAGGCCCGCGCACGGACACACCCGGACATGGGACGGGTGTGCACTGGTGCAGGAGGAGCGGCCCCGCGTGTTCCGGGCTCGGTCTGAGTGCCAGCCGCAGTGAGGACGCCGTCCGGTTGTCCTTGCCCTGTGGGGAGCTGAGACAGACGGCCATGAGTCCCAGGAGCAGGGCCCTGCCGCCTGGCCCTGTGCCACCCCAGAGCCAGGACACAGGGTGTCTGCTGGCTGGGTGCCCAGCAGCTGTGTGCCTCCAGCTGGAACTCGGCCCTGTTTCTGAATATGCCCATCACGCAGAATGGTCCCGGGGGGGTGAGGCCTGGGAGGCCCCTGAGAACACAGGACCGGGGGGAGCCAGGACCTCAGGAAGCCACTTCCTGCTGCTGGAACAGCTGGGCAGGTGGCCTCCTGGTGACCTGAACCCAGCCGTCTGCCCCATGAGTGGTCTCAGGGGCCACGCGGCCTGGCGTGGGGCAGTTACTCAGGAGTGGTGGTCCCCTCTGCAACGTGGGCTCCAAAAGGAGACAGGCTTTGTGTGTGACCAAACCTGCCCAAGTTCCCTGCCTGCGCCCAGGGGTCCTGGGAGCTGCCACCGCCCTTCCCGGGGAGGGGAGAGGACTCCACGCTGCACCGCCCAGGCCAGGAGAAAGCCCTCCACTCTCGGGGGACGGCGGTGTCCACCCGTGCCTGCTGCATACCACGGCTGCTGAGGCGGGCGGCGGGACAGGCGGCTTAGGCGTTGCTGCAGTGGGAGCTGTGGGAGGGTCCGGGGCAGCCGGCCAGCGTCCTCGTCCCAGCACTTGCAGCCCAGCAGTTCGACTGTGCCTGCTGCGTGTCGGCAACCCAGCCAGACGCTCCTGCGCTCCCAGAGCTGCCGCCTGAGGCGAGGGAGGACAGGCTGCCCATGTGGGCGGGGTGCTGGCCGGTCACTTCTGCGTCCTTCTGAATGCAAGCAGAGGGCGTTTTCTCAGGGCAAGTTTTATTTTTTGGAGAGACATTTTCGGTATAGGGCTCATGTGCTTGCAGGAGAAACAGGGAAACAGAGAGATAGCAAGAAATCACTCCCCGGGGAATGGCCACGTCACGATCCCTTCTCCCCCGTTCTCTCAGCATCCTGGTCACGCATACACATGTGCCGGCGTGTGGTTTAAGCCGCCACGTCCGGGACTTGAACCGCTGTCGCCTATGTGGAAATCCAGAGACAGCCATTATGCCAGCTACTGGGCCCCAGAGCAGGGCTTTTGGCACTGGGTTCTGAAGGGTGAGGAGGAGTTCTCTGACCCAAGCTGCCTGCCCTGAACTGGGGGGAGCAGACCCGCCCTCGGTCCCCTCAGACACCCTGCCTCACTTTCCCCAGGGTGCCCGCGACGTGCATGCACGCTCAGGGTCTGTCTGCAAGCGTGGGCGCACAACAGTGTCCCTGCCTGCGCGGAGGGTAACTTCCAGGCTGGGAGAGGAGAGGAGAGGTCGGGGATCCTGGAGAAGGGGTGGGGTAGAGGCCAGCTTTAACCTCAGTTTCCTCCTCTGAGCGGGAAGCGGCCACCTGGCTGCGCGCCGGGATGGGCCGTGCTTCCGAGCCCCGCCCCTGCGCCTGTGGCCGCCAGCAGGCGACCGGCCGAGCTCTGCTCCCCGGCAGTGGGTCCCGCTCCGCCTAGCGGTTGCTGGCCCTTGGGAACCGGAGGCGACAGGGCGGGCGGCGGACCCTCCACGAGGTGCCGGGGCGGCTCCGCCCCGCCGGCGAGGTTGCGATGGAGGTTGTGCGGGCGCTGGGGCTCGGGCCGGG